TTTGAGAACTGTACGTAATATGACACATTGTTTTTTACTTTGTTCCATAAAAGATATTGTATATATATGTACAATTGACGATAAAGTATAAAAGATGAGAATTTATAGTTATTAATATTAAGGGATTTAAAAAGGATTAATATCAAGGAACTTAAAATCATGTCTATATATATTCTTTTATTTTAATGACTTTTTAAATGGGATCATAATTTTTCATGTTTATGCGGTTAAAATTTATAATATTTGATGAGAATTAAAATAAAACTTGGGCTTTATTTATTTTAGCTACAAACACTTCATATATTATCTATTTTAAATTAAGGACTTGAAACGTGAATGTGTGATATCACTTCAACAATTTCCATGGATAATCTTTTCTCGTACAATGTGTAGTCGTTAACTTTTTTAATTTTATAGTATAATATTTAATTGTTTTTGTATTTCAAATCTGCGCTTTACTGGCGTGGCTTGGTCTTAGAAGTTAGATAACAAAGTCTACGACTGGTATCGCGCGAACGCGAGAATATTCCGCAATTCGACCGTCTTGATGGTCGTTCCAAGGAATCGGACGAAGATCTCGTCCTCGCGTTCGCTATATATCTCGCGATACTCTGGATGCGGCACGGCTGTGACGACGGCGACGGCGGCGCACTCCAGACGTTCGCCGCTCTTATGTTCTCAGGCTTTCTCTTCTCTCTCTCCTTAGAAACTGATCCGCCCGGGCTTAACGTGCTTTCACACGAGACACGCCGCATTTGCCGCCACGCGAGACCAGACGTGGCGCAGGGGTTACATTTCGCGAATATTAAAACACCGTCGTGCTCGCGGAATGCCGCCGACTCGGGAAGTATTGGATCCGCGGAATCCGCGCAATTGAAATGCCGGGATTTGGATCGCGTCGTTTGCGAAAGTCGCGATATGACTTTTAAACATTCTATCCTGGAGTATCGTTTACTTACGCGAATGATAATGCGTTGAAAGTGACGTAAATAAATCTTGGAGAGTTTCCTGCAATAAATATCTGTCCGCCTAAAATGTTGCTTAAGTATATTATTCTGCAAATAAACGCATTACTATCATGTTGCGAATATACATTCTATATTATACATGTGTCGTAATAAATTTTGAAGTCATTCTCCTTTCAAGAATTACGTTGCAGGCGCCAGTCTATAATTAAAAAAGAATTTTCCGGTTTCGTAATAGAGATTTGATTTGCATTTCAGCTTCGCGTGCGTTAATTGAAAACTCGATGAATTAAAGTCGACGTGTTTAGCATAACTCGTGGCGCGTTGATTTAGTCGATTTCACATCTCAGACCGATAAGCGTGAGTTCAATTAAAAACTCTAATATGCTCGACGTATTTCCCTTTTTGCGCATGATGACGAGCTATCTATAGACCGGTGATACAACATGCGAGAAGTAACTGCAGGAAATCTGCTCGATACCACTCCCGGGACATTCGAAACCTTCGTGCGACTTAGAAACCGTCGTCGTGCGATCGACCTGCAACCGGTTTCTCGTTCCCTTTCATCGGTTCAGGCTGGCACACGAGCTAATCCGGGTTCTGCACACGTGTGCAACCGGCCGTGCACACACACGCGCGCGCACGCGAAATGCGTGCACGGCGATGTGTGTATGCATAGCTGCTCCTGCTTTCGTTTCCATTGACTCGCGCGCGCGCGCGGTATTTTGCTAATCTTTCATCCAAGTACAGAGCGTGTGGCTGCGTCAGCTGTTGTCCGTTGCTGCATCAGTTTGGTATCATTATTAGTATTATGTGTGCCTCACAATTGAAACGTGTTACGTAATTTGAAATCAAGTGACACTATCACGAGCTAAGAAAAGTTATTGAGTAACAGAAGTAATCTTTTAATATGTCGATCAAAAATTTTTAATATTAAAAATTAAAAAATTATATAATATTGATAGTGTCAAATCCTGAAGTTAGAGGATTCGGTTTGTTGCGCATGTGAACTAGGAATAAGTCGATTATTATTTACATTTAGGAACAATATCCTTTATAAAATTGTAGATGAACCAAAAACTACGCATATCCTATAAATATATCCGCCAATTTATTGTTTAAAGAAATGTAAGGGACTTAGAAAGATATATTAGACAGAAAAGATATATTATATAGTATATAGTAAAAAGATAAGGTTGTAGATAGTTCAATGTTTTTCCTTCCTCTGTCGAGATTAAAGATCCTTGGACGCAAACCTTACGTGTCTAATCCAGCAGTCTTTACATTTTTCCTTCCTATCTGGTCATTCTTTTCCGTCGAAGAAGATAGGATAGGAAATGGTCGGGTATCTCGCGGCATCTGCTAACTAAAAGGGTAAGATCTCCGCGTCGCCGTCCTATCGAGAACCAACCCGGGTATTTGCATTCGTCCCCGCGCTTCTTGCTGGTGTAGATGCCTCTAGCGTAAAACCGCATAATTAAGGACCCTCGCTACCGCACATGTCCGTCCGTCCCGTCCGTCCATCCGTTCTTCCGTCCGTTTCCCGCTGCCAGTTACGTTGTCCCGGAAAGATTCGAGAGGGGAGTCCCGGGGTATCGCGGAAGGATCGAGGATTGTGCCGTCAGTCAACGCGCGGGACGGCGACGAGTCCTTATAGAGGATCGCGCCAGGATCTATCCCTCGCGTGAGCGCTATGCAGATTCCGAGAGGAGTTCGATTCGCACACTTCCGCGAGATTTTGTAGACAAGCAGCAGAATAAACCGCGATCTTAGAGCGTCGATTAGACGTCCGCGCCGGTATCGAAGCCGGTATCGAAATCCGCTATCTCGATTGATCGACACAAATTCCACGCGTTGCTTATTATTATTTCGTTGATAGATGGATTCTGATAT